TGAAAAAAAGGAAAATAAATTGAAAAAGAGCAGCTGTTTCATATCAACACTGACCAGGTGCCATAATAACACCAGCTAATGCGAAGAGTCTTTGACACAAACCAGCTGGGTTAACATTGAGTTGAGTGTACACTAAAAGTCAGCTCTACTCATAAATAAAGTGCATCAGCCAACTTTCTTCATTCAAATTCATTTGACACCTAAAGAGAGTCACGCATAAACAAAACTTTCCCCTTCTCTCACATGACCGCACCTTTGGTAACACGAGGAGGGAGACCGTAGTACTTCCCCAGCCAGAGGTAAACAAAAGCCTCTAACAGTAAGGGATTTTTTCCCTTCTAAACCTCTTTCACAACACACTGACACGAACATCTGCTCGAAATTTAGTGCTTACTCTGAATTTTAGGAGGTAGCATTAACCCTTAATCACACAAAGAATTCAAAAATGTCGAAGAAAGACACTACCACCCTTTCCGCCCACCAGCTGTCATATTTGCACTGATCCACCAATGCTGCCCGGACCTCTGTGCATAGCTGCGTCCCAGAGCTGAGTATGGGCCTTCATTGTAAGCTGGCGAGGGCTGATGTGAAGATTATAGTCATGAGTGTAAACAGAGATCTGGCCCACAGCAGTCATTCTTGTTAGAAAAGTTTTTTTTCTCCTTTTTATTATTTGTCCTGCTGTAGTCAACAGAGAGCACAGCTTGGTTTCATTACTTTAAAAAAAACCAACTTTTTTTTTTTTGCAATCTTTCTATTTGCACAACAGCTTATTCCTTTTGTTTTACTGTTCCAATGAAGAAACTGACAAATAGGAGTCATTATAGTCTGAGAATGAGGTTTTTTTATTATGAGAAAAGTAAGATATGCATATCTTAATCAGTTTTGAAATGCAGGGGAAGCCCAGCAGAGTGGCACTGATCATGTATTTTTTCTTCTAAGACCACAGAATTGGGCCTTTGCAGTTTTAGTGACAGAAAGAAGAGGGGCAGAAAGGGAAAAAAGGCAGAAGAACTGTGAGAGACTGCAAAAGAAAAGAGAAATTTCCAGTGGCCAGCTCATTTTTTCCATGTAAAGTCATTCTTAGGCAGGACATCCAAATTAGTCATTCTTCTGTCTGAGGAACAGATAGAAGAAGTTTGTAGAGTTAAAGAGAAAACAGCTGCAAGGTGGGGGAACTTCGATGTGAAACACGGTGAGGTAAAGATGGACAGAAAGAGAGGAGCTGGTTATTAAGGAGAAAAGGCAGCACCGAATGTTCCTGAGTGTCTCAAGTAGAAACGTGAGTTAGCTGTAATCGGATCTCAGCTGCGGTGAGCTCATACAGGAGGCCTGCCAGCAGCCTCAGAAAGAGCAGTCCACCCATAAGTCTTTAGCCCCACTGCAGCCCTCTGTGGCGATCTGCAGGCCTGCCAGCTTAAATAGCATATATAATCTTTTAAGAGTGCTTGTTGGTGCCCTTCCTCTGAAAGAGATTATAACAGAGTAGAAGAGAAGGTGGTGGGGAAATATTAACAGTCGCCTGCCGTTACAAAAGTGAACTTGGGGCCAATTTAGCCCATAGATAAATCTGTGCCTTTGTTTTCCACGAAACGATTGGTGATTTATTTATTTATTTTTTTAACAAAAGGGTGAATTACTCAGGGGAGAGAAAATTAAAAACACAATCTCCTAGTGTTAAAAAATTGGGTGTAGAAGAGTGGTTTTCATGAGATGGTAAAACGTGGTGAAGAAACATAATTCCTTTACCATGAAACCAGAGTTTGTTGACATATAAAAATTCCTTTTCAGGAGGATCTGAGCTTGCATATGAGCGGAGTGAGTGAATGAGACGTTTGACTGCAACATTTAGGGTTTTATTGAGTTGCAGTGAGAGTTGCACATACAGAGCCGAAGATTTAACACCCTACTTTTGAATTACTTTATTTTCAGTGTTAATCAGCATTAAAAAACGCTTCACTGACTAGGATACGGTCACCCTTTCTTAGGTTTCCTTGTTTTATCGGCACTTTTGTCTTCTCTTGCAGTCACCACACCTGCTCTGATGGACTTCAGATAACGCCCACAGCGATCCCCGCCTTCCTTATCCTGACTTTCAGCCTGTCCCAGAGCCTCAAAGTTCAACACGATGACGGATCCCACTGGACTGAGCTCTGAGGGGGCAGGGTCAGCCATGGCAGATGCCTGTAGTTTGGAGATCGAGAGGAAGTATGATATCATCCCTACCGTCATCTGCTCCATGTGTTGCCTGTTTGGAATCATCTACTGCTTCTTTGGTGAGGATCTCTGCTGGCTTACAGAATTGGAAACTTGGGGCGACATGAGACTGCAGGCGCACGTGCAGTCTGCTGTTTTTATCTTCTGGTCATATATTGGCCTAACTTCATTTTTAGTTTCTTTCCAGTTCTTCATTCTCTAATTTCCTCACTACACGTCTCTCCTGTGTGCCCTCCTCTGCAGGTTACCGGTGTTTCAAAGCTGTCATGTTCCTGTCTGGCCTGATGTTTGGCTCGGTCATCATTTTCTTGCTGTGCCACAAGGAGCACGTGCTGGACACGCAGCTGAGCGTCGAGGCCAGCGCGGGGATCGGCCTCGGTATAGGCCTCCTGTGCGGCCTCGTCACTATGCTTGTGCGAAGCGTCGGCCTCTTCATGACGGGCCTGCTGCTCGGCTTCCTCCTGGCTCTCGCCGCCCTGCTGGTCACTCAGCAGTTCTACACACCTACCACACTGTGGGTGCCGCTGGGCGCTCTTCTGGGATCGGGCATGCTGTTTGCCGTGCTGACACTGCAGTGGCAGAAGATGTTCACCATGCTGTCCACCGCTGTGTTTGGGGCGGCCATCATGACAGTGTGTGCCGATTACTTTGTGGAGATGCTGGTTTTGGGAATGTACGTGTATGAATGCCTGCGCCTCACACCCGGACAGGCGCTCTGCTGGTACAGCTGGGTCATTCTGGGCATCTGGCCTGCTCTCAGCCTCATAGGAGTGCTGGTCCAGTGGAAACTGACGGACAACAGCTTCTCACACACAGAGGGTAAGCGTGGCGCTTTCATTCCTCCGATGAATCAAATCAAGCTAAGGCTTAAACTTAGCATCAAAGTATTCTCTCCATATGAAAGCAAAGTTTGGCGATCTTTTGACCTTTTTTTGTGAAATCATTTAAATCTGAACTGCTGGAATTTTTCAAGCATTTTTTCAACTTTTACTTTCACAAAATTAACATTTGTTTTCTTACATTACTTTCATAAATGTAGACTCACATTTTTTCAATCAGGATTCACAATTTATAAAAGTTGCTCTCGAACTTTCCCTTCACCTCATAGTTGTCATCAGTCGGAGACAGAAGAGAGTCCAGCTGATGCGGATCCGAGAGAAAGACGCCAAGAAGCGACAGCAGGCAGGTGGGCAGGAAGGCACTTACCGCCGTAAACCCACCCCAGTGAAACGTTACGCTGGGGATCTACTGGCACCGGTCAGTGTGACAAACATGCCGCGTGCGGTAGCGATTAGACGTTAGACGCTGGACTTTTTTCTAGCTCTTTGTTCGCTTCGCTAATCTCTCTGTTTTTCTTCTTCTTCTCCTCAGAGCTACCTGCAAAGTCTGCGGGACAGACAGATGGGCACCGGCACTTCCCTTAGCAGCGTGGGAACCGCCAACCACACCACGATCGACTTGGACTACGACACTGGCTCCACGGTGCCCCTCACAGCCACAACGCCAGTTGTCAGGGTCTGAGCAGCACAAACATAAGAAGGGACTACTTAATGCACTCTGGTTCTCCAACTGTGTCTTCCTAATGTAGAGTAGAAGTTAATAACTGCTCTTCTATCCATGGGGTGTTTGTCGCCCTTGAACTGATTTTCTCCTCAGTGGGTCGCAGGTGTTCAGCAAAACACAGCGCTGCTGGAGAATGTAAGAGGATGAGGCTAAAACCACTGCAACTTCTGTGTTTCACAGAGAAACACAAGAAAAACCCCAGACACGTACAAAAATAAAGGTCGACCATTTCCACTCTTCACTGAGCACATAACAGCCCAATGAGCCTCGAAGACAGATGTGTTTCTGTTCTGATAGTGAACATCACAAAGCAATGCTTGACATTACATGTACTGTACTTCAGAAGTTAGTCATCACAATCAAGTGTCGTGTTATTACCCGTTTTACCCTTTTCCCGTCCGGTTGTAGGATTTTTTTGGGGGGGGGGGGAGGTCTTGTCATCACAGTAAATTTTATTTTGTGTATTTCTTCAGATAAAGTATGATGAAAAAGTGAAGTATGGGACCTGGCTGTGTGGAGTAAGACAAAGTGAAGTGAAAACTAAATGATGCGAAAGAGGAAAAAACCTTTTGCTGGAACCTTTAGCGGGATCTTCTAGCAGAACTCTAACAAATTCTGTGATCTTTCTGTTTTTGCAATGTAGCTCCCATCAGAATAAAATGGGCGGTGATTTAGAGTCCACTTTTTATAATTTAATTTATATAAAGTTCAAGTACCTTAGTAGCGCTAAGTAAAAAAAGAAGAAAAAACTAAACAAAAACAAAGCATGTTTGTTGTTGATCTGTAGATTTTTAAATAATTATCCAGACGTTGTTGGGATCTTTTTTTGCAGTGACTACACACGTGTTGCCTGAATCTGTAAATACCTGTTGATAGAAGTGTCAAAGATTAATAAATGTGTTTAATAATAAGCAGTTTTTAGTTGTCTGTTGAGTCGGGGGGGAGTAATTGAGACTGTTTGTCTCTCCGGGCTCTTAGCAACACTGCCGACATTACTCACCAGATTTCTCATAGGCAATAAAGAGGTCATGGGGAGGATTTCCTACTCTGCAATTGGTTGGAGTTGCCATGGCGCTCGCACAGTTTGCTGATTTTTTTTCTTTGCAGACACAATGTGAGACAGACCGCCCTTTCATCACAGTAAATATTTTTTTTCTGTCCTTTCAATGTGGCAGTGTGAGCAACTGTTGTGAAGATGTTGTGAGCAATCCGAGACGCCGTTTTATTGTTGATGTTATGTCTTGTTTATTCGTAGAAAATTATACATTCTCACTTTAAACGAGGGAACAAGTGAGTGTCGCGTGCTTTTCTCGCCGACCAGTGTTACTCATTGAACGCAATGAAGTCCATAAACACAATTGACCAGAAAGTGCACGTTCCCGTCATCGTATTATGTCTTACTGAGTGTATAGTGACAGCTAATCCAACACACATGTTAAATGGGAAAAACAAAAAACAAAACAGCTTTGATTTTTCTCAAGGATCACATAATACAAAAGTTTGCACAATCCTGCATTCAGAGACACACAAACACAAGCCTGCTCTAGAGTGTACAGGTTCCCACACTAGCTTTTCCATTAATGTGGTCAGTGATTATTTACAATGAATTGCTGCTCTTGAGGTTAGGGTGGTTTGTAAATGCCCTGTGCTTCACACCTCTTGGTACCTGCTGCCCCCTGATGGTGGAGCACTAGCATCGCATCCAGCGTTTCTTCTTGCTCAGTGGATAACCTCTCTCTGCTTTCAGCTGCTCATTCACTCGCCAGTAGTCGTCTCCCTTGAATATGTATATTTTGCCATTGGTCCAGGTGAAGGCTGCATGAGGAGCGGGTGGCACTCCAGTGAAGAGCATGCTGAGCGGCTTGGGGTAGAAAGTTAGGTCGTTATAGTTCAGCTCATCCCACTGCCAGTGCTCTGATCCCTACACAGGGTGATGGAAATAAAAAAAACAAATGAAGCAATGAGGAATAGAAGGTGTGGATGTAGCTGCATGTTTAAGTGCTTCTCTTCATAGCTACCTTAATGAAGACAAGCTTTTTGTTCTTCTTCAGATACAGGGCTGCATCGATATTAGGGGGAATCCTTTTCAGCTCTTTGGGGTAGCCGTAGTCCAGAACAAAACTGGTATACCTCCACACTTTATTGCCTGTGACCAGAAAGAGCACAAACCTTTCACGCTGACTATTCCGACCCAGAGAGCGGTGGGTAACTGAAGTGTAGCTTGACTGGACTAAAATTACCTTTTAAGAAATATGTCTTGTTGGTTCGCTGAGAGTACACAGCAGCATTTAGGTTTCCTGGGAGGCCTCTCCACAGTCTGTCAATTCTTATAGGTGGGTTGTGTCCCAGGTCAGAGATAGTCCACACATAATCGCCACTGAATGCAAAGGTTTTCTCCCAGGGACCTGATTGAACAAATAATAACAGCTATTCATGAGAAACGATCTGAATAACAAGATCTATTAACCTTTTTAACTCATGGTGACTTTGTAATCTTGGTATCTTGCAGTTTCATTCTTTAAATTAATTTCATGTTTGATGGCCTAATGTAAAGTTAGCTGGTCTAATAAACACTGATCGATAACTTACCTAATATAATCGCATCCAGTGTTGCTGTGCAGGGATCAGGGATATTCTCAGTCCCCTGGCTGCTCACTGTGGGAACCAGACTGTCTGGAGTTGTGGGACTGGCTAACGTGCTTATGATGCGTTTGCCTTAAACAGATAAGTTAAACATTTTAGGACGATTGCATGTTTTCTTATATGCAATCAGAGCCCAGAATCATCACCCTTAAACTGACAAATGTTGTATATGTGCAACATCGACAGCCCAGGTCCAGTAACAGCACCAATCATGTTGCAGGACCCCCTCGACACACTCACCGTATAGTGCTTGGATGCCATTCACGTCATCTGAGTGCAGCCTGAAGTTGACACGGTAACCAGAGTAGACTGGTGCCATCAGAGCGCTTCTGAACTGAGAGTGACCCAGGCCGAGAGCATGGCCAATTTCATGAGCAGCTACAATACGCAGATTAGTGCCATAATATGTTCCCTCAGTCCAGAACTCATCCTCATCAAAGTGGACAATACCCGATTCTGGTGACTCAGCATGGGCCAGTACATGACCTGCACCCAGAGCAAATAAACAGTAACAGTCCCAGCAACCCAGTCACAGACGACCTAGTGACACATGCATTTATAAACAAGACTTACCACGGCCATCAAATGGGACAGAGCAGAATCCATCTTTCTTATGGAAGGAGATCTTTATGTCGGCTCTGCCATAATCGACCTCTCTGAAGGTCAAAGCCGCCACATCGCTCCAGTACTTGAAGGCAGATCGGACGGCATTCCTGACGTCTGACTTGATCATGTCAGGAGTGTAGTTGTAGATGCGATAGGTTAAGCTCCTTTTCCTCCAGCGGCCTAAAAGAGAAGAACATTTTGTTTCTAATGAGTACTAAATCATACTATACCCGGTCATGACAGCTTGTCTTGTGTAATATAGATATATTCTTAACTTTAAAGCCTCAGCATACTAGAAACACTGATGTCTTGCTGCTCGTGGTTTTATGAAACTAAAAAAACTAAACAAAACAAAATAATCAGGAAATTGTGACACTGGCTGGGTATTTTGTATAACAGTTGCAAGTAAATGTTAAAACCACCGATGTACACAATTTGCTTCTCACCCATCACTCTGTACTTGTGAAATTTCTTGTTGAAAGGATCCTCCAAACCACAGCGGGGCTGGTTCATCACTTCCAGTGTGGCTTCATCTAACTCTCCAGTAGGTGGCAGATCATTCACTCTCTGGAAGACACTGATGAATACAAGGAAATCAAACATCTGCAAAGTAATGGAAAAAAAGACATTCCCCACATCTTGTGTAGGGAGTATCGCTCTAACGGATCCTGATCTAACAGCAGATGTTACTGGAAGTGTGTTCTCTGTAGAAATAGCAATAATCTACTTTACCTGAGGGCTTCAATGACCTCCTCTAGGTAACGAGGGTCCAGTGTATCGATGGGCTCATTCAGGTAGCCGTACTGCCTCAAATAAGCCTGTGCATGTGTGAGAAAACAACAAAGCTGTCATGTGCGACCGCGATAAATCAACTAATTTGGCAGGAAAATAAAAAGACATCTATAAACACATCATAAGGACTCACTGATTAGATAAAGTAAAAAGGTCTACTTTTAGAGAAGTTTTCAAACAAGTCACAAAACGACCTGCCATCTTACCGTTGCTTCACTGAACTCCGTCCATGGTACCACTGCGCAAAATACTCCTTTGAGACTGAACACCAGCAGCAGCAGCACCAGCAGCAGTCCTTTGTGCTCCATAATCATCCTCAGATTCAGATTTCACAGCTGGTGCTCCGGAGACGTGCTCAGCGGAGTCCCACAGCAGACTCTTTGTTCTCTTGGCGCTCCAGCGGTTTTTAACTCGTCCGGCGCATGAGTCAGCCCCGCGGCTGTGATGATCCACCTCTGAAGAATGAGGATTACAAGAGCAGCCAGTTGACCTACTATCAACATGTCTGCTGTTAAATTGTACAGCTGTCAGGGAAGACCGAAAGCCCACCCCCCCCCTCGCCTTCATGCTCTACACATTAGATGTAGTAAATGTTACAGTAGTGTGGGTTTAGTTTGGTCTTTTTATGAGCTGGTGGAGAGAGGGCCTTCTTCCTGAACACAGCAACACTGATATATCACTATCCAGGATCACAGCAGAGTTGTTCATTCCTTAACACATGACTGGAGTTCAGGTATGGGCCTAAACCACAGGATTTGCCCTGCCCTCTGTTTTCACATTCCTGTCACCCCCACAGCTGTATTACCTGGAACAGATATCTTTAATACACAAACAGATAAAAAGCTTTTGTATTTCCATTTGTGGAACAGTATTCTTAGTGGACCTGCATTTTATTTTTTACCCATTTTTCAAAAATGTTGTTTTGCGATTCTCCTTATTGTCTTTAATTTCACAAATAAGAAAAAAATATACTGTCACACCTGCGGCGGCAGTTGTGTGGGGTTGAAGGGAAAATGGACCCAATCGCGGGCACTGACGATGCAATGAGTGAGCTTTATTTACATGAGGTGATAATACAGACAGAGCAGAGATGGGACAGACGGAAACTAAGAACAAACCTAAACTGGGACAATCTAACCAACAAATCTGAATCCGTAACTGACAGGAAAACATACAGGGTGGAACACGGGATGACATGTGGAGGTAACACAGGAAGAAACCGGAAACACAGACGGACCAGTAACAAGCAGAAGAAAACACAGGGCTTATATACACACAGGGGCAATCAGGGAATGGGAGACAGGAGGGAAACAAAGCCGGGAGAAATCAGAACTGACAAGACAAGGGGAAGCAAAACCAGACACACTACACACAGGACAGGGGCTATCAAAGTAAAACAGCAAATACAACAGGTATGAACAAACACGAGCTTAACACAAGACATCAGACATGGCAACAGGGAGGGAACACATAGACGTGGGACCAGCAAAGGCACAGAGACACAGAACAAAAGGAGCTCAAAATACAAAACAAATACCAAACGTAAGAACAAGAAAATCCTAACAAGAATTAACCTGAAACATGAGATAATAATCAAAACCACTGAGTCCACAGACTCAGCACCATGACATTTACAATAAAACGCTCTGAGTGTTCAAGTAAGGCAGAAAGGTGCTATATAAAAACCAGTCCTCATGATCAAGTCCTCATGTTTAGTTTTGCCTTTGGTTTCGATTTCTTCTGCTGCATGTGTATCTTTTTCAGGATTTTTGTACAACTCCACTTCAAACTACAGAACTTGAGATTGTGTATAAAATGTAAATAAAAACATATTGCGATGATTTGGAAATCTCAGAAATCCATATTTTACCTACAATAGAACTAATCAAACTGTTAAAATAACACATTTATGATTTCAAGAAAAACATGAGCTCATTTTTAATTTGATGGCAGACACACATCTCAAAAAGAGGGGCTGTCTAGCTGATAACAAGGTCCTTGACCTCCATCAAAAGCCAACATCTCTGATGGTAAAAGGGTCCATTAGTTCCTTTGGAATTGACAGATTACATCTGGAAATCTGGAAAGACACCGTCAATTCTGAAAGCCATGTACAGGATTTAGAGCAACATATGCTCATTTATTCATACGATGTCTTTTTCAGGAAGCTAATGCTAAGCAACATACTGCATTACTATTAAAACAGTATGGCTTCATAATAGAAGAGTCTGGGTGCTGGCCTGCATGCAGTGCAAACCTTTCATCAACTGCAAACATCTGGAGCAACATGAAATGAAAACCATGACCAAGAAGACTCAGAACTGTTGAGCAGCTAAAATTCATATCAGCCGTGTGAATGGGACAACATTTCTCTCCCGAAAGTCGGGAAGCCGGCCTCCTCTGATTATTTACAGGCTGTTGTTAAAAGAAGATGGGATGCTTCAGTTAGACAGTGGCTATGTTGTATGTTAAAGTGAGCTATGAGCACTGATCAGATCTAAACAAAAATCATGTTACTATTTCTATAACGAGAGAATAATTTAGCATAATCAGCCAAAGTTTTATTCCTTCTTTTTTTCCCCTCCGTGAGCAGCAGAGTCATACTTTTTGATGAGCTTAGCTCATTTGGGAGATTTCCCGATTTCATTCAACCCTGCTTTGGCATCTAATGAAAAAAATTGCAGATGATGGAAGGCTGACATTGTGTTTTGATGTGCATTCTTGAAAATGTCTGCGATATGATTGGAATAGAGCGCTGTGTACTGAAGTGGTATAAATGTACAAGAGCATTAAAGGCAGTAAAACAGCTGGTCTCAAGATGTGAGTGCATGGTTGGCATCGTATAGCCCAGACCTTCCCAAAGTGTGGGGCCCGCCCCCTAGGGGGGGCGCAGAGCAATGGCAGGGGGGGGCGCGGTATGAAAAGGAAAAAAACAAAATGCTTGGACACTACTAGCACAGGGGAGCCCACAGAAATGCAAAGCAGGAGATGAAGCATAGCTGAATATGTTTCCAAACCAACTTCATTCTAAGCCAAAGACTAGAAAATATGGTGAAGCATATCTTCCCTTTGGTTTCACCTGCACAAG